GGAGAGACTACAGGAAATGGAAAGTGGTCGATTTATGACTACGCTGATGAAGGTACTCACAAAAGCAACATGGAGTTTGATGTAAGTTTCAGCACTGCAAAGTTAACATTTGTTGGAGAAACTGACTGTGAGGCCTTAAAAGCCAAGCACACGCTAAGAGCTGAATCAGTGCTCTTAAATCGGATTAGCATTGATGCAAAATGTGAAACTGAAACTCCATCTGTGAAGAAGAGTGTTTTGGTTTTGGATGGAGTGGCTGATATCGGGGACCTGAAGGTTGCACTCGCAGCCTATCACGATGCTGAATTCAATGGAAAACTGACTGGATCCATGTCCAACTCGCTGGAGTTCACAATCCATCCATTTGAGGTGGCCTTCGATGTTAAGAACAAAGTAAACTCGAAGGTTTTCTTTCCCCTGAGACTGACTGGAAAGGTAGCTCTGCAGCATGACTGTGGTGTTGCATTAAACTCTGTGAAACAGCACGCGTCCTGCTTTGCTTTGGCAAGGTTCAATCAGTACAAGTACAGTCACAACATCACCGCAGAAAACAATGATATGGACATCTTCTTCCACTCTTCGGCAAACGGAGAGGCTAACCTGGAATTTTTGACGATTCCGCTCTCTATCCCAGAGATGACCATACCTTATTTCCAGATTAAAACCCCTGAAGTCAGAGAATTTCCGCTGTGGGAAAATGCTGGATTCCAAACTTTGCTCACCACACCTCAGCAATCATTTGACATGAACTTGAAGCTTCACTATTACAAGAACCCTGACACCCACAGCTTTGAACTGTACCTTACACCGATCTACGGTGCAATCAGCGACAAAGCCACCGTCCTCCAGGCTCAGTTTGAAGACTTTCGGGACAAAGTGGTTGCATTTTTAAAAGATTCATACGACCAAGCAAGGCCACAGTACATCAAACACAGAACTTACAGATCTAGCCTGCCACCTAGCATCTTCAGAGTCCCCGGATATAAAATACCAATCCTGGATATACAGGTTTCACCTTTCAGAGCCGAGATGCCGGCCTTTAGCTATTTCATTCCCAAAGAGGTCAGGACCCCAAGCTTTAAAGTCCCAGCTCTGGGGTTCTCTGTGCCGTCCTATACTCTTGTGCTGCCATTATTAAAGTTTGCTGTCATTCATGTTCCAGAAACGTTAAGTGAAGTAACCTTGCCCACTTTTAGACTGCCACCCATGCAGAACAACATAGCGATCCCAGCTATGGGTAACATGACATTTGATTTCTCCTTCAAATCCGCTGTGATTTCGTTCATTGCCACCGCAGGCCTTTACAACCAGTCTGACATTGTTGCTCGTTTTGGCACCTCTTCAACGTCAGCGTTTGACATTTTGAACATAAAAATCGATGGCACCTCCAGCTTGACGAGGACGAGAGGAATAAAAGTGGCCTCAGCTGTTTCCCTGGAGCACAACAACATCAATGCAAACCACGAATGTGCTGTCAACCTCAACAAAAGGGGCATGGAAGCTTCTTTAACCAACACCGCAAAGGTCAAGCTACCCTTCCTCAACCTGGAGCTGAATCAAGAGCTCATCGGAAACACCAAAACAAAGCCAAAACTCACATCCAAGAAAAAGTTAAAGTACATTTTTAGCATTCCTCTGATTGAGGCTGCAGGAAACTTTGACATGAACTGGGAACTGGAAGCACTTCCTTCTTATGTGTCTCTGGAGACCAGCACCCAGGGGAAGACAGACATTATGATGGTGAACGGCTGCATCTTTTCTGGAGATCTAGAGAATAAAGCCAGTTTCTACTTCACTGCCAACAGCCTGCGTTCAACTGTCAAGACTGTCTTAAACTCAAACCTCGACAAACAAGAGAAACAAAAACGAAACTCCAACAACATCTTCCTGTTTGACTTGAATAAGGAGTTAGCTCTGGCAGTTTCCTTGCAGCGAATCTTTGCAACGGCTGAATGCACGAGCACCAACAATGTCGATTTGGCCTTTTTCACAACAAATGGAAAACATGTCGCCAAAGGAGAACTGGACTTTATTCCTTTAACGACCTTCAAGACCAAACTGAACATCGAAGCGAGCCAGCCGAGCAGTTTGGGCGATGCTCGACTCATTCAGAGCGTTAACCTGGCCATCAGCTCAGAGCAGCAGTCTCTCACCTGGAGAGTTAAGGAACAGCTCGCGTCTTTCGTCCATGCTCATCTATTACTGCTGTCCAATGATGAATCAGCAGTGCGCTTGGAGTTGGCTGGATCAGCAGAAGGTCCCCTCGCTTTTTTGAAGACAGTCAAGATTCCTATTTATCAGAATACCCTCTGGGATGTGCTCAGGTTTGATCAGGTCACCAGTACGAATAAATTACAATTCCTCAATGTCTCTACTAGTATTGTGTACACAAAGAGCATGGATGGCCATGAATATGCAATACCGTTTACACTTTTGGAAAATGGTGTCAGTTTTAGCATCCCTCAGATCAGCATTGCAGTGCCTTCATGGCTCAAAGGAATTCCAAGCTCCATAAGGAACATAGACGAGCGTCTGGAAAACCCTGAGGTCCCGGATCATCTCACACTTCCCCCTGTGATCTCAGTTCCTGCCTTTAATGTACCATTCACGACACTGCATGTGGAGCCCTTCACACTCGATCCGAACAACCTCAGCGTCCCGAGGGTGATCAGCACCGAGGCCTTTGAAGTCATGCTGCCTGGCCTGCCCGTACTGTCAGTGCCGGGTTATGACATTAACACAGAGTACCTGCAGGGAAAACCATCATTCCTTTCATTTAAGACACCACAATATGAAATCACAGTCTTACCTTTTACTCTACCAAAATCAGTGACCATCGGGGGGCAAACCATCAGCCTAAATTACATCACACGCCAGATTTCCAACTTTGACCTTCCAGCCATCACCATTCCAGAGCAAAGAATCGAAATCCCTGCAACGACCCTCCATCTGCCTTCAAGTGTGTTTATCCCATCCTTTGGTGCCCTCAGCGTCTCTGTGAAGGTTTCATCTCCCATTTATAGTGTGTCGACGACTGCCAGTGTCGAGAAAAAGGACTCCAACCTATTAACTTCACTGAAATCCAGATGTGTTTCTACCATGAACTTCTTGGAATACGACCTCTCTGGTAAGACGAAAGCACACGCCACTTTACCTGATACCACACATTTGTATGAATTGCTGCATGTAAGGCAATATAAAACCTAATCTTGCCCATGTTTCCCCAGCTGATGCAACCATCGTATATGATAACGGGGCAATGAGTCTAACTGGGAAGGGCAAACTGATTCACACTGATGGAAATGTCAACTGGCAACATGTTTTGGCACAAAATGTCCGGTAAGTTAAACAAACGCTGCATTCTAGAGTCGACTGGAAACACTGGTTTAACTTTAAATAAGTTTCCCCATTTCTGTACACTGGTAAACATTTCATGCACACCACTAAAGTGCATCAGAAGCTGTGATGAACTGTCTCAGATCCCATCCGATAAACATTCAAAGTCTGGGATTAAACCCTCGATCGCTCATTTTCTTTCAGAATGAAGCGCCAAGTCTCAGCAGCTGAGTCACTGTGAGTTTATTAGATGCTGATGTTTCACATCTCTCCATAGTTCTCTGTCTGTTTATCACATATGATCTGGAGCATGTCTGTACTAACGGTGTGTCTGTTTCAAAGGGAGCCTCGTCACACTCTTAGCGTTGACATCAGCAGCCGAACGTTCACAGACGTGAGCTTCCGCTTTGCTTCCCGCAAAGATGGCATCACTGCATCCGTGTCTTCGCCATCATCTGGTTTCCTTGGAGTGCATTTACAGAGGAGGTCTCCATCGCAGCTGTATGGGAAGCTGTCCAGTCGATACCTGGTATTACATCTTCGACTCTTTTATTTCATATTATTGTTACTGTGAGTGCAACTTTCCAGACTGTTTGATGCTCTGTTTAAAGTCTTCTCAACGTCTTCCCTCACTCTCAGTCGTCTCCAGACAGGGATACCGATGTCTTCGCTGCAAAAGTCTCACTGAGAAACTCGCAAAAATTCTTCGTGCAGACTTCCTGGAATCGGGACTTCCTGTGGGATGTGATGGAAGGCACCAAGCACAGAGTTCCTGCAATGACAGACGCTGTGTTCAAGTGCATTAACAAGTATCACACCTCCCACTTTGGCTTTGACATCAACCGTGGCAGCAAGAAGCTGAAAAACACACTTTCTTACGCCATAGAGCGAGCCTACGACCAGGTTCCCGTGTCTTGTCCCACACTGCAGGATTGGGTCCAAAACTTTGCTGATGGAGCGCGAGATAATTACCGGAAGGCCTCTGACGTCTTGATGTCCATGACTGTGCAGGATGCTATAGACAGGCTGTTTGAGACGGTGAAGCGTGTCATGAAACAGTGTGAAAACAACATGAATGTGCTGCTCGATGCAGCCTTGCAGTTTGTGAATGACACACGGTTCATCGTGCCGGGATCGGAGAGGAAGCTCTCTCTCATGGAGGCGGTCCAGGAAGCCCGTAGTGCCATTCAAAGAATCAACGGCCTCGTGGAGAACATCTCTACAGACATCAGGAAAATCAGGTTCACCGTACCTGGAAGTGATGCTTTTGTTAGCGGAGATGAGATCATGGAGAAGGTGGGGAATATTCTGGACCAGCTGAGAAAGGGCGTGATCAGCGCGATCAACGTGCTCCACCTGACAGCTGCTGGATGTTTACGCGTCGTTGCTGAAAAAGCTGAGAGTTTCCTCGCCTACCTGCAAGATCAAAACTCTGAAATTTCCTCTAAAGTTGATGCCATTTATGCAGATGTTCGGCAGTTTTCAGAACAGCACGGCGAGGAGGCGCAGAGGTGCACGACTGAGTACAGAGACCTCATCAAACTCAAGACCCAGAAAGCCTTAAATGCTCTGAGCATGGAGCGAGTAAATGATGGGAGCAGCAGGATCATCAGTATTTTGCAGGTGCGCTTCTATGAGGGACTTGAAGCCAGTGTGGCTCTAATGACCCGGGTCTCCCAGAGCACAGCCCCCTACGTTAGAGTCAGCGAACAGAAGATGGACATTGAGATACCTTTACCCTTCCTCTGGAGGTCTTTCAGCGAATGGCCGACGCCGCTCAGACAGTGAATTAACAACGTTGGAGATAAAGTGGTTTCATAATGGATGAAAAAATTGAAAACTTCCTTTTTTGACAATAAAAACTGTTTTAAAGTGATTCTCATAAATAATAAAAATAAATTCCGTTTCTTCTGTGAGATTCACTGAATGTGGTTCAGCCTGCACGTTGCTGTTTGTTGGTGTTCAGTTAAACAGACGCTGAACTCCAGTTTGTGTTTGTCTCTGTCCTGCTGAAGCTCCTCGACTCATTTACACAAATAACATCAGAAATCTATCAGAATAAGAAGCATCAAAGCTTTCTGTGGTTCTGAGTCGTTTCCTCCTTTGTTGTTTGGCTTCTTCCTGTTAAACTTTAAAGATCAGTTTTCTCGTGTTGGTTTACTTCCTGTTCTTAGGTTGTCTGCTCCTTTGTTCCACCTGTGTCTCATCCCCAGTCAGCCACCAAGTCCAGAAAGCTGTAAAATGTAAACAAACAGAAGGAAATGCAAATCGAATAAACTTCTGTTTTACCTGCAGAAGAACAGAGAAAACAAACTGAGAAAACCATTTTAGGTACAATAAGAAAAGTCTGCAACATCCCGTCTTCTTTTAACAACAGTCTGTAATGCCTGTGATCGGCACACTGGGGTGGTGGTCCCTCTTTTCAGGAGGGGGGGGCAGAGGGTGTGGTGCAACATCCTCAGCCTCCACGGGGGAGCTCAACAGGAGAATCTGCCAAACATGTGCTTCCTGGACGTGAAGAAGGTATTCAACCACGTCTGACGGGGCATCCTTTAGGGGTGCTTTGGCAGAACGGGCTGGACGATATAGCCTCAAAATGATATCACCACATTTCTGATCTGAGCAGCAGATGTTTCTGTAACCATCAAAGCTGCTGGTCATGTGACATCAGCAGCGCTCCCGTTATTTTCCTCCAGTCTGAAAGTTTGAAGTCTGGAAGTTTGTGAAGAGAAACACTCTCTAGGTCCAGTGTGGAGTGAGGAGCAAGAGATGGGAAAGAGATGCTGCTGGCTTTAAAACTATTCTATTCTATTCTATTCTATTCTATTC